GCTGCACGAAACCAAATATGTTTTTATTAAATCTGGGAATGATGCAGAATGTGCAAATGTTTAGATTAACCAATGTTGGCACTGGCATTTCTAAGCAGCATGTAAATGTATGAAGTGAGTAAAAGGGACAATGTTCTCCCTCTCTGTCAGGTTCTGCCCAGTATAGCAAATGCTCACCCGGCTGTCCGTAACATGGCCGTTGTGTGTCTGGGAACATGCACTCTGCACAGCAGGGAGCTGGCCAAAGCCCACATGGTCCTCCTGCTGCAGGTAACGCTTCATTCACCAAACCTCAAACACATCTGTATACAGGCTTCGTTTAACAGTCCCTTCATGCACATCACAAAGAAACAAGCAAACCCCTGGTGGTGTTTGCCTGTGCAGATAATAAAAATAACTAATATATCTTTATATTTTTGCTTAATGGCGCAAACAAAAGCATGAATACATCCGTTGTGTGTATTTTCAGATTGCTCAGCTGGATGAGGTCAAAATCCGTATCAGCGCTCTGCGGGCGATCGTCGACCTGCTGCTGCTGTTTGGCTTCCAGCTGCTCTCTGAGACAGCTGCCAATCTGACGGCCCTAAACTCCAAATCCCCAGACCGGCGGGAAGAGGACGGCCCGGCGGCGGAGGAGAAGGGAGACGCTCCAGAGGACACGGCTCAGAGTATCCTCGTGATGCTCTCAGAGTTCCTGGACAGTGAGGTGAGATTGAGGGCGTAATATCTACCTAATAATTAGAAGTGTGTGTGTCTATGTCTATGTGTCTAGTTTCAGTGGAAGAAGAGCGTTCTTGAAATATCTGTGTTTTTCAGGTGTCTGACCTGCGTACAGAGACGGCAGAGGGTCTCGCCAAACTCATGTACACCGGCCGTATATCCAGTGCCAAGATGTTCTCCCGTCTGGTGCTGCTCTGGTACAATCCCGTCACCGAGGACGACACCCGGCTGCGGCACTGCCTCGGTGTCTTCTTCCAGCTCTACGCCCGCGAGAGCAGGTCACACATGCACTCACACACACAATCAGACCATCTTTTTTGTTGCACTAGCTACACATTTGTCTCATGTTTACATGTGCAAGATACATTAAATATACGAAATGATGTGTGGCGGGATAGCAAGCTGGCTATAATAACTGTGATTACACGCCTAGGAATGCAATATAAATGAATATAGATTGTTTCTTCTGTATCAGGGCCCACCAGGAGGTCGTGGAGGAGGGTTTCCTGCCCACGATCCGGACCCTGATGAATGCCCCCGTCACCTCTCCACTGGCTGAGGTGGACGTTAACAATGTGGTGGAGCTGCTCGTCGAGCTCACCCGTCCCAGTGTACTTATCAAGCCCTCGACCAACACAGAGGTGAGAAACCTGCTTTGTTACTTATTAAAGGTGGGGTATGTCATTTATTTCAGAAACACTTTTTGTTATATTCCATGGAATGCTCTTAACATCCCGATAGCAATGAATATCTGAAGTACTTTGACAATAAATTTATAAAAAAAATGTCATCTGTGAAAGTCGTAGTACTGTAAAAAGCACGATCAATCATCTGAGCCGGCCCGGCTAAAATAACTGGATGGCCTACCTGCCTGTCAGCCTTCCACCTGTGCACAAACTTATCTCGTGCCCTCATTGGTCATGTGCGCGTTCGTGTGTGTTGGAGGAGGGGCTCTGTAAGGAAGTGGCAGATTTTTTTCCCGGTTGTGTACTTTCAAATTCTAGCGCACTCGAGCTGGTTTCTCCAAAATGACCTACCCCACATTTAATCTTTGGGATTTTATTGGTCTACTGAGCTTTGCCTCATTGCTTTCTTCCTCCAAACACAAATCCATTTCTATGACAGATGCAATTGGTTCTCTTACATGCTTCAGTTCACGTTCAAGCATGCAGAGCTTTCATTTAATATTGTTTAATTGTAAACTACTTCTATAACACTTAATTTGATATTGGCTCAATGAGTCAAAAACACATTTAATTTATTGACTTCATATCTTATTTAGGAGGTGTGTGTCCATGACTACTTGGCGGTCCGTATTTGCGGGGAGATGTTGAAAGACACCACGGCCCCTGAGGTGCGTCTCTATACCAAGACTCTAAGCAACCTGGAGCTCAGCGGAGATGGAACTGTCAAGAAAGACCTGCAGACACTTCTGCAGCAGCTCGTACAGGTACACACACACACACACACACACACACACACACCAGAGTTCCCGTTAGAATATTTTTTCGCCGGTCAACATGTCCGTTAAAGTTTAAATCTTCCGGACAAAATGAGAAAAGTGCCGGTCAAAGGTCTTCTTTGTTATTTATTGAGCTTTAAAACAAATTGATATGATTCAATATTAATCTAATTATAGTAGATTAACTACATTATTCAAAAGTGAACAGTAATTTACAATAACACGGGAATAATAAACGGAGCGCTCTCTCCCTCTCCTGACAGCCTGTCAGTATCATGCAGCTCGTGGATCAGTAATGAGTGACCCGACAGTGAAACTAAACATATCTATAACTAGTTACGGTACTATAGTTTGAGAGGTAATTAAAATAGCTACGTGTGATATTCTAACCTGAAGTGTGTGTTTTGTCCGCTCACCGCTGATCATGCAGAGCTGCGTGTCGACTTGTCAGCAGCAGCTGATCTCTCTCTCCCGTCAGATTAGACTCGCGTTTATGTCCATATCGATCAGATCCAGCTAGTTCTAGCTAATGATATGACTACCTGCTTATTAAAAGACACCTAAACAATAAGCGTCGCTATGCAACCTGGTGAGGCCGCAAAGTATAGCGCAGCATTATGCATTTGTTTACATGCCCACCGGAACCCCGAGGCATTACCAACAGATCAACGCACAATCAACCCATACAGGACATCTCTTTCTCCACATTAAGTGTTAGACATTAGAATTGACTATTCTTGTCTGTCACATACTCTTTTGTCTGTCACATAAATGGTGCAAGTTGTGCAACTGATGCGGTATTGCGCTAAACGGAAATGATTTTGAACGGACACTTTGACCGGAGAGATTTAGATTTGCCGGTCTTCAGCATATTTTACCGGTCGTAGTCTGGTAATTACCGGCTAACGGGAACTCTGACACACACACACACACACACACACGCACACACGCAGGCACACACAGCAGTGAGGTTTTACCTGCAGGTTGATGCTCACCATGTGAATCTCCCCTTTACTGTTTCATGTATATTTCCACCCCTAAAGGCCTGATTTCTCATGTTTCCTCTTTCCTTCAGGAGGTGAAGGATCGTATCTCTCTCCGTGGTCTGGAGAAAATGATTGGTCAGCTTGCGGACTCTAAAGAACAGGCAGAGCTCCTCAGCCCCAGCGCATTGCAACCATTAGATGTCAACGCAGACGGTACGCATGCAATCAGTGACAGTCTGTTGGAAAGACAACCTGACATCCAGCTGAGCATTTACACTACACACACATGTGACAAATCCTCCTGTTAATGGATTATGTCTCATTACCAGAATCTTGCTAAGTGGATTTATGTGCCTGCACATCCCATTCGGTGTCTGTCAAGACTAGAATAGCACAGAGGAGCTGCAAAACATCCGTTTTCTGTCTATCTTTCCACAGAGGCCGCAGCAGACGATCCATCTAAATCTGCCAAGAGAGCCAAAAGAGGAACCGCAGGTACTGTATACTCATCTAAAACTGCAGTTGTTCATAGTGACACTTTATTTTTAGAGCTCTTCTTGTCTACCTTCTTGTCAAGGTGTTGACTCAGCACTGTTAGGTAACGTGTGTGTGTGTGTGTGTGTGTGTGTGTGTGTGTGTGTAGGTCAGAGGAAAGTCTGCGCAGCCAAATCGGGCAGGAAGCCGAGCAGGAGGGCAGAGTCATCAGAGGAGAGGTGAGTGTTCAGTTGACTGTCGGCACCTATACCTTGTTTGATACCATCGCTTTATTTTCAAAAACTCATATTCATCTGCTCTTTTTTTGCTTTGGACAGCGATGGCGAAAATGTTCCAGAGTCAGTTCCTCAAGTGCGACCCTCCCGGAGGGCCAAGACTGCAGCTCTGGAGAAAACAAAGCTGGACCTAAACACGCTCATCAATCAGGAGGCCAATTGACAGGCAGGCAGGCAGTTGATGCAAAGATGGAAGTAAAATGGTGCGGTTTCAGTGTTGTTCAAGTACAGCCGTCTAATATACAGAGCTTTAAGTTCATATACTTTCATCACATTATCGTACTCGTTCTTTTGTAAAATGTAGTGAAAGTAACTGAGCCTTCACAATTTTGTAACCTCTTTATATGTTGTCATAGTTCCTTTTTAATCTGTGTGTTTCTTATTTTCAACTTTTATCATTTTAATCATTAAAGTGAAATACATGTCAATAAAACTGGTCCTCTTTTCATTATCCCAACACCAGATCAGTGGTGCCAAACATTGTAACAGTTTGTGGATTATGTCACACCAAGAATCAGTTTCACACTAAAAAAAACCCGAGACCATAATTATATAATATAAAACTGAAAATGAGAGCTTATATTATATGTAATCAGCACTATGGCATGTTCAATTAAGCATTACATGAACAATAGCTTTCAAATCATTTCATATTAACATACTGCAGGTGCTTCTGTCTCTACCATGAAGTCGGTTCTTTTTTTAAAATAATGTATGTGGTGCAAAAACTAACAACCCTAGATGTGAGCACTTCAAGCTCCTTCGATAGAAGAGGTGAAAATACAGCTTTTGAAATGAGCACTAGCCAAATGCTGGTGAAATATGCAAGGGGCTGATGGATTTGCTTCACTTTCCAGACACAAATAATAATGGTTTTCTGTTGAGTCGCACCATTTTTTAACCATTTCATATTACATTGAAATCTTCAGGTTGGGAAATGGCAGCTTTGTGCCAACGAAGAAAAAGATCGAAAGCAAATTCCTTAGATAATCCTGAATGTTCTCAGTACCGGTGTCGAGCACTACACTCTACTCTCTTTTTTACAATAATATTTCTCACTGGTTATTTTTAGAAAGACTCTTTATTATTCCGATCACAGACACCTCTTTGTTGCATCTGTAATGGACAGTATAAAAACACATAAAGAAAATATACAACAGATGTTTAGCACCAGGTTCTTCAACAGAGCACTGATCACAAGACTGGGCCATCCCTCGTGTTGAGAGGGCAACCGCAGTGACGCACATACAAGGATAGTCAGACACAACACACACACACTACAGGTTTAAGCTTTGACCTACAGCCAGACATCTTGGATCTACCTGCGCTCTTAACACTATAATGATCCAAGATTAGTGTTAACAGATCATCAATCTGGCCATGTCTATCACTCAGTTGATAAGCAAAATAGTCTTAGCTGAGCACCAGTGGAGGTAGGCGTCTCTTGCTGCAAACACAGAAACTCAAGAGAAAATGCAACAGCAACACATATTCCACCTTATTAACAGTAAATAATGCTAGTACATTTATGATAAACAATTTAATGCTATTATAACAATTAAGGATCTGTTATTTTTCAGCTTCATGAGGAGAACAAAGCAGGTGGGAGAAAAAATAAAGTATGTAATATCCTCTAAAATCACATTACATGGCTATGTAACTGAAGTAACATCCCAGGCCATTGGTAATTGTGTACATCCATTCATCTGTCAGCAATACAATAATTACTACATATTGATAAATCATCTGGGTTTGTATTGCACCAAATAGATCCTCTAGTTTTACAGTAGGGTTTGGCAGTGGGACACGGGATGTGCAAAATATCGGGGAGGAATCTGTGTAGTGGGGTTAATAATCTCAGATGAAATAGTGCAAGGAGTAGATCCGACACTAACATACAGTATCTGCTTTGGGTGAAAACAAGATGACATTCACATAAAGATAACTGAGTAAAACAAGACGGATACCACAAACCAACAAATGAATAAGAATCTACCTTCTTTCCCTCTAAAATCACTTCTAAATCTCTTCACATATGACTACATTGTGGGGCTGTATATTTAGTCAGCTCAAACATGTATATTGGGATTAATGGCCGTTTTGTTGCTTAGACTTAAAGATATTGTTTTAAATAAACTCAAAGAAATAGTGACATAGTATTTGGTTTCAGATGGATCGCCAATTACTGTAGTTAAATACACAATGTCATAGTTGGAGCCAGTTTACAGAATGATTGGGGTAAAAATGGTGCTTCTTTAAAGAGTCCTTCATTCACACTACATTTTGGCTACTGGCTTGCAATACAACAGCGACAGAAGCATCAACAAACATATTGCAAACAGGGCTCGGATTAGGAAAATAAAATTAGTTTTCAACATACGTTTACCAAAATCAAAAAAACGTATTATATTAAATTAGCATTTTATTTTAACAGTGCCAAAGTAAGGGTGACTATAAATACAAAAACATATTAAATTAATTTTGGGGGGGTTTTAGGGCTGTACATTCGTAAGGGCATTGTCTAGAATAAGTGGTGGCGTTGATAATGAGGTATGTTTTGGGGGAGATGGCACTATCGGCATGATCTCAAGCCTTTCCTTTAATTACAGCTACTCTGACATGGCTCACTGTTTTAAGCACATATCCCCAAAAACTCTCTTCACCGTAATGATTTGATCTACTATACGCGCTCAGAAAGAAAAATGCAATAAAAAAAATTAACATTTCTGTACATATCCATAGATAAAAATAGTGCAACATCAAGCTTTTGTTAAGTTAGACTGCTACATAATTGCTGAGTGTAAGACTGAATCATAGCGGGATTGGTCAGTCCTTGTGGTCAGCTCAATGTCCAAAGGCACCACGTTAAGCAACAGTCCCTTCCCCAGGTCGGAGGAGGAGGCATCATGCTTCAATTAGTTTTCTGTCAGAGAAGAGAAATGGGAAAAATTGATATAGAAACTCAAAATTGAAAATAAAATGTTAATAAAATAAGCAAGGTAGTTACCAAAAACAAAGTCGCACCATCTCGGCCCGGTAAGGCCTCTCACTCGCGATTGTCTCAACATTTTCGCTGGTGGTGGTTGCGGTGGTTCAGCAGAAGCAACCAAAGGACTTTTGTATTTGCCATTCCTCCTCCTCTCTGGCACCTCATCCTGCACTGATTTCGGTGCAGAACCGGCTTGCTCTCTTGAGATGGTACTCCTTTTTCTTTCAGTTTTCACAGCTTTAACAACTCCTACAAGTTCTTTCTTCCTTCCTGCTAAGAGGTATGCCGAAGGTGACCCATCATCCAGTGTCACAGTACAGGAGTCCCACTCTTCCTCAGTTGATTCATTGTCCGGAGAGTTAATCTTCCTCAGAAACACTCTGCATTCCTTCAGTGTCTCAGGACTCCAGGCTTTGGAGCAGATGTTGTGCTCTTTAGGTACCTCCGCAGGCTCCTGCGTTTGGTTAACAGAACCGTTTTCCAAACAGTCAGATAACTGACCTCTTGCTGATCTACGTAATGCTTTACGTTTTGGTAGTAGTCCAGTTACTTTCTGTCCATTTGAACGTGTAGCTACATTTATGTTTTTCTTACTCCTGTGCTTCTTTTGACACCTCTCCCTTTCTTTTCGGGTTAGGAACTTTATCTTTGCTCTAAATAGAGTGGTCAGATATTTTCCAAATGATCTGCTTCTCCACCATTGGGCTCTTTGATTGAGCCGACCTGTGGCAAAAAGTTGTCGCCTTATCTTCTCATTTCTCTTCCTCAATCTCCTTTGAGCTTGTTGATGTTGCAAAGGACTTTTTGGCACAGTTTTGGCAAATTTCTTGATGTGTTTGCGCAGTCGCTGGGCCTGAGGACTGGTGCAAACACTCTCTTTATTGATAGTACGAGGAAAATGCATCATTTCGTAAGAATTACGTGAGCTTGCCTTCTTGACAATAGAAAGGGACTGTGTCTCTGTGGTTTTCATAAACCAGGAACAGACCTGCTGCATACTACAGGACCTTGGTTCTTCAGGAGGACAGTCAAACAGGGTTCGTACCACAGAGGAATGTTTGGACCTCCTGGCAAATGAACTCGTGCCTTGTTTCGATTTAAAAGCAGTCTCTTTTACTTGGTTCTCCCCAGTGTTTGAGACCCAAGTGTCAGAGATGACTCGTATTCGCCTGGCAAGCTCCTCACTCATAGTATTTTCTTCTGCTGATGGTGTCCACCACCTTAGCGTCTCCCTTGGGGTAAGATTGAATCTACAGATACTACTCCGGCCACTCTGCCAGGTCCTGAGATATGTGATTCTTCTCTTGTTCACAGGGCCGTCTTCTCTCCCTTAAAGTCTCCACACTACTCGGTTGCTCCCCCTGTCTCCTTTCATTGCTGGCCTTGTTTAGCAGAAGTTGTTTGGAGCGCCGTAGCAGAGCATTGCTGTGGCTGTATGATCTAGAGGTGGCAACAGCGTGCAGAAAGTGGATTGAAGGCTTTCTCACTCTCATTGAGTGACGCACTGCAACAGGCTGCTTTGGCAATTTGTCTTTATTTTCATCCTCTATTTCAATCCCTTCTTCAATTTGACTGATTTTGCTAGATGACTGTCGACTGATTGTCCGGGGCTCATTGGCAGATTTGAATTCTGGTAGCAGTACTTTCTTAGGATTTAGTGTTTCAGGAGACTGCCGAGTATCCTTATTTATCAGAATTTTACGATGACGAGGAGACACTGTAGTTACTGTGACTGAGATTCCAGAGATTTTAACTTTTGCAGGTCTACCTGGTTTCCTTGAGGGTGCAGAGTCATCCCGTTTCTGACATTTGATGGTACTGCTAGATTGAGGGGCAGACTCTTTAAGAGGACTGACAAAACTGAATTCATCTGACAATTCTGATGCTGCTCTTTTGATGCTACTTGAATTGGTCTCAGAGTTGTGCACTAAAATACTCAAATCACTTTTAAGGCCAACTGCTTGACAAGCATCATGGAATTCTGTTTGCAGCTGGTCAAATCCCTCGGCCACAGTTCGTTTGTTTCTCCTAGAACGGCCAAACACGACTGTTATTTTTAAGTTCTTGTTTACATTTTCCTCAGCCTCGTATGCTGTAAAAGATTTTCCATTTACTGTTTTTCCCCCCAGTACTGAATCCACAGCCTTCTCCTTGCGTGGTCGACCGATTGGCCTCTTTGCCTTTTGCTCAAGTTGTGGCCCCAGCTTCTTTGGCCGGCCTGGACGCCTTTTTGGAGTGGTTTCATGGAAAGACATTGAGCCACCTGGTGATCTCTGGCTTTCAGCTACATCCACATGCTTAGTCGGAGTGCCTTCGCATGATCGCCTGGAACCTATTTTAGGTGACGATGAAGCAGACTTGGGTGAAGATGCTGACTTGAGTGGTGAAGAACCAGACTTGGATGGTGAAGACGCTGACTTGGTTGGTGAAGAACCAGACTTGGATGGTGAAGATGCTGACTTGAGTGGTGAAGAACCAGACTTGGCTGGTGAAGAAGCAGACTTGGGGCAAGATGACGACTTTGGTGATAAAGAAGCTAACTTGGGTGAAGAAGAGGATTTGACTGGTGAAGGACCTGACCTAAGTGTTGATGAAGCAGATTTTGCAGGAGAAGTTGCAGATTTCGGTGTTGAAGAAAGAGACTTTACTGGTGAAGTACACAACTCAGTTGTCTGACTTTTTGTTCCTGACCATGAAGACACTATACAGGGGTCAAAGGGTTCCTGTTCACTAGAACCAGAAGATGCAGATTTAAGACTATATCTGACCCCTTCCTTATACTTTACTGGTGATACAAACATAAGCTTTATTGGACTAGTGTACTGGACTTGGGAGTTGGGAGGGCTTTCAAAACAGATAGCAGACTTCATTGGGACATCCATATTTGATGGGTTTTGGAGAGTGCTTGAAGCTGTCTTTGAGTACTGCATTCTTTTTGGAGATGACCGCAGCCTTCTAAAAAGCTTGTCATCAGAGTGGCTGCCATCTGTTTCATTGTCCATGCTTTGCTTTGTTTGACTCTTTGCTTTGGCAGCAACAGGGACCTGTGGAGTGACCTGATTTGTGGAAAAACCTTTCGATTCTGTGTAGGTTGTTTCATACTCATCTCTCTCTGGCGATTGAGATGAAGACAAAAGGGCTTCCCTTATTGATTCCAGTTTAGAGCCCTCAGCGTCTGGAACTTTGGATAAGGCATCTACTGTGCTAGATGTCAAAACGTTGTCCATTTCAGTTTCCTGGTTGGAGGTGTTTTCAGAGAAACATGAAACATAAAACATCTTCCTGGGCTCTGTGACATAAGAGGAGAAACGCTGTGGAGGCACTATATGTCTCCTGGTTCGCCCTGAGTCCTTGGAGTGGTGTGACGGACCTTTCTGCCTATTTCCATTTGGATTATGGTAATCTTTACCTATGCCTTGTCTATTGTCACAATCAGTGCTTTGACCTGAGGAGGCTTCGTTATCACTGTTCATTTCCTTTACAGCATCAGTACCCATACCATCGGGCCTGCTGCACCGTTTTGCCGAGGTTGCAGTCATTGCCATCTTCTTTGTCTGTACACTGTCCCCCTTCAAGCCTTGTATGCCAAATGTACTCAGTAGCTCAGGGGTAGGTAAAGTGCCTGAGTGGGTAAGATATTTCCCCCCAAAGGATATTTCCCTTTCTTTCTCCTCTGCTTGAATTATCTGAACTCCTTCTGTTACTATATATGCTTTTCTCTCCTCTTTTATTTCATTGTCACTTTTTGCAATGATAATGTCCAGTGGTCCCTCCCTAAAACTATGGTTCTCTGCAGGTTCAACACCTAGCTCCATTTCGTTTTGAGAATCCTCTTTAACTAGGTTTGAATCTGATAAAGTGTGTAATGTATTTGCAGCAACATCTCCATCATTCAATCTTTGCCTCTTTGCTTGTCGCGCCTTCCTTCTACTGTAAGACAGGTCAAACAGTGCAAGCTCTCGTTTAATTTTTAAGGTTTGCCTTCTGGTTGAAGCATCATCAGCAGGTGTTGCTATAGCAGCAAGGACTTCTTGGCGTCGTCGTGAGCGAGTATTAGGTGACTTGGGCTCTTTGCTGTCATGGCGATTGAACAGCTCACTGAGATTGTAGTCACTAGCACTGCCTGTGTGAAGCACTGTTGTGATAATTTCAGTCAAATGGGCATCAGCCTGAAACTGCAGGTTCTGACTTGTCGAGGGACACTGTGGCCGCTCCTTTATAGAGACATTAACGGCTGTGAATACCAGAGGTATATCCTTCTCTATAGGTCCGATTGTCTCCAGTTTCTCACTGAACCGATTCACAACATCTTGCAGTGAAGTCCCACTTCGGTTTTGCTCAGAATGTATACTGCTTGGGGTGCTACAGTATCGCTCCATTTCTGTAGCTGTATCCACACCTGCTTCCTGTTGGCGTTCATTCACCATGCCATCTTTAACAATTAGGTCAGTTTCCTTCTCTTGTCTATGGTGAAGAAGAGAGGGTGGCTTTTCATCAGTTTTTGTATCCATGTCTGAGGGCATAGGGGACAGTGGAGGAGGAGAGGGGCTCTGCTCTCTCTTCAGGACAGGACAAGGAGGATCTCCATCTCCCATCCCTTTTTCTATTGAGTTCCTGACCTGCGTCAGACAGGCATGGTTTGAATAGCAGGGACAAGAGTGGGGGTTGTGTTGGTTACAGCAAATCGATGAAGAAGGGCATAAACTAGAGGAGGGGGTGCAAACTGAAGGGGATTGGGATAACGAAGGAGAGGATGTAAATGAACACACTAGGTTGTTTATATGACCTACAGCCAGGCTTTGGCCGGAAATGCAGTGCAGCCTCTTGGGGCACATAGCGGTGTAGGTTTCCCTCCTGCACCTCTGCACACAGCTGTAGCTTGAGCCCAGAGGAGTGTCACTTTTACAGTCTGTTAAAGAGAAGTGATGGATGCTGCATTTGGACGTGGAGTCTCCTGGATGATACATTGCGCTGCCAAGATCTTGATGATCAAAGTCAATTGAGGGGCAGAATAAGTTGCTGTTATGGGCTTTACATTCACTAAATGGGACTGCATTAGGGGTAACAATATCCTGTTGGCTTACACTACAGTAAGAGGAGTGAGATTCCGTTTGACCTTCAGCTCTGTGATTAAGAAACAACAGCATTTTTTCCTGGCATGCCAGCTTCAGGATGTGGTAGAGTAAGGAACGATGTGCTGAGCAGAGCAAGCTGAGAACAGCACCTAACGCAGAGCTCTGACGGAGCCGAGTCCCTCGCTGTCCCAGATCTCCCAATTCTTCCTTTGATGACGACAACAGGAAGCTAAAGACAAAAATAAAAAGAATGGAGTTTTACTCATAGCGAAGCACAGTTGAATATGACAAACATTAAAGAAGTACTCAAGGTGTCGGACACATTTTTATATTAAAATATTGTGTTAATTAATCATGCCTGGTAGATGGTTTCCACTTCCTCCATTAGTGAATATTCTGTTATCATGCACCTTGTTAAATGACGCAAACATTTTCAGAGGTCTACAACTCCAAATGTCTCCATGCATACATATGATGTGCAATGTTATTGATCTCTTATTAATTACTCTTGCATGCTTTTTCCTATTGCTGTATTATAGAAGAGATAAAAAACATGTTTACACCAACACATTTGGCTTTTGCTGCATACGCACACACTTTAAAATGTGAATAAGATCTCAACTGGATTACAAAATTCTGGTTGAACAAACTGACTTTTTCTAGCAGACATGCAAAATAATGTATTTAAACAGCAAGTAAAACAACCATTTTCCTTGTAAACTGTTGATGATCCACAAACCACTTCTTTTAGAAAAATAATGACAGGCGATTGATTAGAGAATTGTTTTATTGATGAGTTGCTGAAGGCAAAAGATAACATTCTGCTAGAGCAGAAGGAACGATTGTAGAACGCTTAAACAAATTGTTTTTTTAACAGCACTTCCAACAACAAAACTAACAGCACACAAAATCTAATGTTCAAATCAACTTACATTTAAATCAGGTACAGTGAGTGATTTATTTCACTTCTTAACTAACTGATTTTAATATATTATTTTAAGTGTCCATCTGTTTTTAAATTGGATAGTATTTCCAACACTTCAAGTGCTGTTTAAGTCCTTGTCAGGGTTTTGTTGGACTGGACGCAGTATAAGAGTATTACATTATGTAATGTGACTGTTGAGGGTTTTTTTTTTAAATCACTTAAATAATGTAATAATAACATAAGCACTAAACAACCACAATAGTCAAGGGTGTCTTTTTAGGATCAAATAAATTATAAGGGCTAACATTTAAAGCGTCCATGCAGAAATACACATTTCACATTGCATCAAAGTGCCCAATTACAAATCAATTACTACAACAATCAAGCTAGTAAAATCACAGTTCTGAAGCACAATCATAAATAAGTATGCAGCAACATCAAAAGAAGGTTTCTACAATAAAAATGCTGCTTATAAATCATAGTGCAATAGTTGATTTATGCATACATAGAAGATATCTGTCATTCAAAAGATTTGCCAGTAGTCAAAAACAATAAATGCAAATTAATCTCAAGTTGAAAACAAGCACCAGTGTGTTCTAAGAATAAACTGTAATTAAACACATACAATGATTACTTGTAAATTCTAAGAGGTGTTTAGGCTTGTTAAAAAATAGGCCGTTTGATAAAAATAGCAGATAATTCCCAGAGTAGACACATCATGCTGCGGCCCCAGACACAGGCATTGTGTACTGTACAAAGCGGAGACATTCAGGAGCGGAGACATCAGTAGTTGTATAGTTGCCTAAATTACAACGATTGCAATGCCTATCAATCTGACCAAAAGGCATAACAAAATTAAATACTTGTACGATTACCATTCAAATTACAAATACAAATATAACCAACAAGGACGAAAATGTGCACCAAGTTTATCTGCAAGCTAAAAACATGGCATCTCTCCTGTATGCCACAGGGTCGAATTAAAACCATTTAAAAACGATTATTTCACAACAAAACGGCTGAAGAACCCTACAATAATTAAAACAATTACTTGAAGGAGTTTAAATGTTGTTGATGGCAATACATTTACACCCTAGTGTTGTTCCTTGAGAGACAAACTTCTCAGACGTGTTTGTAAGCTAACAAGAGCTCATACCCCAGCAGATTCAGTATGGTATCACAGAATCCTTGACGTGAAACCTGACACTGGGATATAGGCAGATAAAATTCAGAGGTATATATATGTGGCAATGAGGTTAGAGAGAGAGAGACAGGCAGACTAACATTGCAGCAAAATAAAATCAAAGCAGCTTTGTGTGGGTAACCCTGAACTGCTGCTTTGGTAGTAGCACTGTTAATGGAGATATGCCCATCTCAGAGGCAGACACAAGCATAGACGCAACATTTAGCATTTCCCCAGACACAAACAAAAAAGCCTTACACTGAATCAAGTCATTGTCAGAACTACTGTAACCTCCAGTAGCCTACACAATCAACCATCAAAAACATGAAACCCTATACATGCACCTAATCTCATGTAAGTTACACACAATGCATTGAAATAAGTTAAATGAAGCTTCTTTGTTGTAGCTACGCCTCTTTGTGCCAGGGAAACAATCCAGTAGTTAAGTTTTAAGCAGCAGTCATGAATGAGGTTTACAGTAATACAGCTACAGTAGCAGAATTAGTAAATATATGTGATGACAAAACAACATATTTTACAAAAGGTAGACATACACAATAACATACATTTCCCAAGCTTATCAGTGCACATTGAAAACATGCTGCACAGTTGCATTCCAACTACACTCAATACAATGTTCAGACTAGTTTGCACAAATAGAAAGGAGAATTATGAGGACATAAAATGGCTTTCATAAACTAATCTCTTCAACAAAAACTCAGTGAAGATGCAGCGACCACAGCAGTTTATAGTGTACAATCTCCCCGTTTGTTGAGGTCTCTAAAAACAGCAATGAGTTTTTAATCTGTTATAATGGCTCTAAGTCACTTCAGTAGCCCAGGTAAAATACCCAGAGAGATAGAAAGCTGTAAATGACAATCATCGACGCTCCTTTAAGAAGGAGCTTTAAGAATAGAATCAAACCTGAATAACCTAATAGCTAGCAAAAGTCATACTTTATTTGATAGCTCTCAGAGGTCCACAACTGTATTTATCATACTTAATCCTGGGCAATCTAGTGAAAAACAATCCCTGTCAGTTTTTCTCCTTGATGAAAAAAAAGAATCCAATAGACATAAAAACAAGACCAAAACCAACAACTGATTGATCATTGTAACCAGTGAGTAATACAGTGTTGTAATGCACAAGCTCTGTGCATTACAAGCTTTTGTTTACAAAAATTGTCTTCAAAATATAAAAGGGCACCTGTAACACACCGGATGATAAGATGAATTGTAAATGTAGTGGACAAATGCAGAACATTTTCTGTTATACCTGACTAAAGTTTAAGACAAAGTTTATGGAAAATTTGACACAAGCCATATCTTTTAAGATCTTTTAGGTTTAGTGATATAGAAAAGAAATGAAGCTACGAGGAGTTTTGCTTAACCAAAGCTGCACGACGGCCTCATAAACGCTTGTAGCTCCACTAAACAAAGCCCAGGAAAAAGCTAGAAATACAGCGAAAAGTATGACTGTCACATAACAGACACATAGTTAAAAGACCTGAATATCGATATCCATATACTTTGTAAAGGCATGTGTTGTGTTTAAACAAGTGCCTCCAGAAAACATGTATCTTGTCAGAGGTGATGAGTTCAAGTGTTGAGGAGTTCTAGAGGCGTTATGTGTTCTAGAACATCTTTGCGTCAGCAGCTGAGGCAAGAGTCCCTGAGTTAGTGGAACCCGTCATGGTTCCAGAACCAGACGAGTTGGAATTGGATGAACAAAATATGGCAGATTTCTTCTTGGGCGGGTTCTTCAGAGTTCCAGTGCGCTCTTTGACTTTGTACTCCAGTGTGCTATGGGGCACCCCGTAAATCCCCTGGGCCTTGGACACGCTCATGCGACCTCCCATCACCATAGTGATGGCCTCCTCCAACAGATCGAAGTCGTACTGGCGGTATCTTCCACGCTTCTTTCTTGGTTGCTTGTCTTTATCCCTGCCCCCGTCTTCTGAGTCATCCAGTGAGGACCCGCGTGGTCCGAGGCGATGAGGTGACTGGTTGGCACTGCCTGGACAGCCATGTGGTAAGAAAGGGGGTCTGAGTTTGAAGAGAGATGAGGGTCTAGCAGTAGCTGTCGATGAACTGGCAGTACCCTCCATTGATGAGGTACGTTGATGCAGGTTTTCAGCCGAGCAGCCATTCTCAGCGGGGATCGCCCTGTTATGGTCAGCCATGGAGCGAACCTGAGGAATACGCAGGGACGTTGGTTGCTCCAGACTGGGAGTGGGGCTTGGTGGAGGCTGGAGAGCATCCCTGAGCTGGGGAAAAGAGTTGGGGAGGGTTTTGTGTAGACCACTTGGCTTATAAAAGGAGAGGGAGGATGAAGGGAAACTAAAGTCACCATTCTCCTCTGCAGCTCCTCCAATTTCTGCCTGCTCCGCCCACGCCGCCACCTTCTGAAGAACAAGACGAGCTTCGCCGCCAAACATTGATGACATCACATTATATGATGTCACTTCATCCCTGCTTCCTGGTGCGAGTTGATGAAGCATCCCCAGCCTCCCTTCAGCCAAGCCGTCTAGACCTTGCCTCAGGGTGCGAAGGGGAATCCCATAAAGCAATGCGGCCCGCTGCTCCTGCAGCCTCCCTGAACGTATGTCCTTCAAGGCCTTGGACAGCAACCCCTCAGACAGCTCCAAGCTCCTCTCAATGTACTCCTCCTTCTGCCTTCGCTGCCTCCTAGGGAATGGAGGACCAAACAGCAGGGTCAGGATGGAGGAGATGGAGGGGGTTTGATTTTGGCATAGGGGACAGGGGGAGTGCAGAGCGAGGGGTCCACTCATTTATGTATTGTGTTGGTAACATCACTGCGACTCTTATGTTTCATGTCTGTCTGTTCTCACACACTGCTGCTGTGTGTCTCTTACACACGTCTTGTGTGTGTGGCAAAGCCTCTTCACGTCCAGGTGGGACTGTCTGTGAATGGCTGGGCTTACTTTGGCGCTCACACACAACCCTTGTAGTTTTGTGATATCCTTCAACGAGAGTCCTACATGCTTGAAGGTTGAATAATCAAACTCATCATAAAAAAAGGAGGTAAAATCGTTATGAGGTACTGCAATGTTCTCCTCATTGTGCAATCCTGTTCGCAAATATTATAGTGCCAGTGCTGTGACGTTACCGCTCAAAAGATAAAAGAGTCATCCCCATAGAACTAAAACACAAGACACAAGCTAGCTCTCCAAATAACTAACAATGAACAGATATCCTCAAATAGGCCAGAGAGTAGCGCTGTTAAAAACAACAGTAGTACAAAACGGTGTTGATGCTAACCTTTCAATTTGAGCCTTGCTGTTCAACTATGAAATTACTGGTTATAATGCTGAACTCAGTTAAAAATCGGTATTTCCTCACATGCAAAGTCCTACTGGGTTTGGATAAAAATGCTTAGGTCCTGTAATTTAATTATTGTATTAGGGAATAGCCCCCATTTTAAAATAATATTAATGATAGGGTTTCCTTTTGCATTTGCCACGAGGAGGAATACCACGAAGGTGGAAAGTACGAGCCAGAGGCAATTCAAATATAAAGAAAAACTCTTACCCTGAAGCTTTTCCTTTTATTGATGTTGACGAAGCAGAGTTCCTGTTGGAGAGGTCGAGCACGGCATCTGTTACAAGAAGAAATCATGTTAACTGATTAGGGTTTGAGTTACAGAGGTTTCGTACCTTAAGAAAACATCAATGTTAGTCTTAAAACTTTGCAGGCTGGAAACATTCATTTATTGGCATTCAATTCCTAATATTTGAAACACCTCTACTACCTGGGTCACTTTCACTTTCACTTTCTTTCTCGTTTCCAGTTCGGCTCATTGTGAGGTCCAGAGGGGCATCTGATGTTTGTGACAGAGGTGATGAGGTCCTTGTTGTAGTACCATTTGTACTGGTGTGTTGTAGGCACTTGGATGCGTACTCCAAGGCAAACTGATGTATCATCTTCTTCATTAGCTCCTGGGCAACCAGAGGGATTTTGAAATCGCAGCCCAGTGCCACATCTAATGAAGAACAGGACATTGAATTCTCTTTAGACTTTTATATCTATTAAAAGGTGGGGTAGGTCATTTTGGAGAAACCAGCTCGAATGCGCTAGAATTTGAAAATACACAGCCGGAAAAAATCTGCCACTTCCTTACAGAGCCCCTCCTCCAACACACACGAACGCGCACATGACCAATGAAGGTACGAGATAAGTTTGTGCACAGATGGAAGGCTGACAGGCAGGTAGGCCATCCAGTTATTTTAGCCGGGCCGGCTAAAATGATTGGTCGTGCTTTTTACAGTACTACGGCTTCCACAGATGAAATTGTTTTATGGATTTTGTGTCAAAGCACTTAAGATATTCATTGCTATCGGGATGTTAAGAGCATTCCATGGAATATAACAAAAAGTGTATCTCAAACCGGTTTCTCAAACTTACCTACCCCACCTTTAAGAAAGCAACTAGATAACTGTGCGCCTTTGACAGGAGCATGAGTGTATCAGAAGTTACAATGTGTGTGCCATGCATCAAAAGGCTTACCTTTCTTGTAAAACACAGCATGGAGAAACTTGTGTGCTGATTGGCTGCTCTCAGAGATGTTTGGAGCCTGGCAGGGAGAGTAATCAGAGGGGGAGGAGAGGGGCGAGGTGGCTGCAGGTGCATGATCCTACAAGAAAAAGATACAAGGTTACTTATCCGATTGCTGTATATCTTGTTTTTTCTTCATCTTATATTAAACCATATCATATAAATACGTTCAACAGACAAACACACTAATATTATCTGGACTAGAAAAATACTCACACTGCTGAGTTTGTCAAGGGGAAGGTTGCAGAATGAACATTGAGCGCAATTTGTTTCTAGGGACCAGTCATCCAACTCTTGAGGTTCGCAGTCTGAAAGACACAATTACACATAACCAGGCATTAATACGTAAAGACTTCAAACAGCTTACTCGATTGACAGGAGGTTGTTTCCAAACATCATCATTACATTACATTGCATTTAGCTGACGCTTGTATCCAAAGCGACTTACAATAAGTGCGTTCGACCAACAAAATACAAACTTGAAGAAAACAGAATCATATAAGTACATCAGGTTTCATAGAGCAAAAACATTTCAAGTGCTACTCAACTGGCTTTAGATAAGCCAGTCCTTTATTAGTATACAAGTGCTTTGTTAATAGTTCTATTGCTCGAAGTGGAGTCGAAAGAGATGAGTTTTCAGTGTGCGCCGGAAGGTGTGTAAGCTTTCTGCTGTCCTGATGTCAATGGGGAGCTCATTCCACCATTTAGGAGCCAGGATAGCAAACCCACGTGTTTTTGCTGATGGGAACTTGGGTCCCCTTCGCAGCGAGGGTGCAGCGAGCCGTTTGGTTGATGCAGAGCGGAGTGCACGTGCTGGGGTGTACGGTTTAACCATGTCCTGGATGTAGGAAGGGCCAGATCCATTCGCAGCATGGTACGCAAGTACCATTGTCTTGAAGTGGATTCTAGCAGTTACCGGAAGCCAGTGAAGGGAGCGGAGGAGCGGCGTGGTGTGGGAGAATTTAGGAAGGTTGAAGACCAGACGAGCCGCTGCATTCTGGATGAGCTGCAGAGGTCGGATGGCACATGCAGGTATACCAGCCAGGAGGGAGTTGCAGTAGTCTAGGCGTGAGATGACGAGAGCCTGGACCAGAACCTGCGTCGCTTTCTGGGTCAGCTGGGGACGTATCTTCCTGATGTTGTAAAGAGTGTATCTGCAGCAGCGGGTTGTAGCAGCTATGTTTGCAGTGAAGGACAGGTTGTTATCTAGGGTCACACCCAGATTCCTTGCAGTCTGAGTCGGGGAAACAATAGAGGTGCCGATGTTGATTGTTAGGTCAAGAGTGGGACAATCTTTTCCCGGAAGGAAAAGCAGTTTAATCTTGTCAAGGTTGAGCTTGAGGTGATGAGCAGACATCCACTGAGAGATGTCAGCTAGACAAGCAGAGATGCGTGCGACGACCTGGGTCTCTGAGCGGGGAAAGGACAGAATTAATTGGGTGTCGTCAGCGTAGCAGTGGTATGAAAAACCATGCGGGCTAATGACAGATCCAAGCGAGTTTGTGTACAAGGAGAAGAGGAGGGGACCAAGAACAGAGCCCTGAGGGACTCCTGTAGTTAATTGACAAGGGTCGGACTCGGACCCCCTCCAAGTAACCCTGTAGGTGCGGTCTTTGAGGTATGAGGTGATGAGGGAAAGTGCAGAGCCTGAAACTCCAAGTTCTTGGAGAGTGCGAAGGAGGATCTGATGATTCACCGTGTCGAATGCAGCAGACAGGTCCAAAAGGATGATGACAGAGGAGAGGGAGGCTACTTTAGCAGTGTGCAGTTCCTCAGTGACAGCAAGGAGGGCAGTTTCTGTGGAGTGACCTGCCTTGAAACCAGACTGGTGCGGATCCAGAAGGTTGTTCTGATGGAGATAACAGGAGAGTTGTTTAAAGACAGCGCGTTCAAGTGTTTTAGACAGGAACGGGAGGAGAGAGACAGGCCTGTAGTTTATAACATCAGACGGGTTGAGAGTGGGTTTCTTTAGGAGAGGGTTTACTCTTGCCTCCTTGAGACTGTTTGGAAAGTGACCAGAAGTTAGAGAATTGTTGATGAAATGGGTGAGAAACGGTAGAATATCAGGAGCGATAGTCTGAAGGAGGTTTGAGGTGGTAGGGCAGGCAGAGGTAATGAGGGTAAGAACCTCACTTGGAGAGAGAGGGGAAAAGGAGGTCAGTGTGTGGGTGAAAGGAGGGTCTGGTGACCCAGTGGTGAGTAAAGGTAAGTCAGAAAAAGAAGAGGGAATATCATCAACCTTTTTTTCAAAGTGGTTAACAAAGTCGCTTGACAGAAGGGAGGAGGGGGAAGGGGCTTTGGGGGGGTCCAGGAGGGAGGAGAAGATGGAAAAGTTTTTGGGATTGGAATAGGAAGATTGGATCTTATCTTGAAAGAAAGTGCTTTTCATCACAAACATGTATGCCACGAGTGCGATTTAGATTTTAATGGGGCCGTAGACGGTTATGAGCATTGTTGCAAATCAAAGAGAAAGACTGCATTGTAACAATATTGGATTGGTTGAAGTAGTTATTTAATAAATTAATGTTTTCTAAATAAATGTTCCAGAACATTTATTATGATATTAAATATACACACATTTTAATATATATTGTATACAATTCAAAAGCAATGATGAGTAAATATTTGATTTGATTTGCCCTCAATAAGAGCTGTTACAAGCACACTTTGCTCAGCCCTTTTAAAATATAAAGGCAGGATATATGTTGCAAATGTATTATCTTTTCAATTTACACACAGCATCTATTGCACGTCTGTCCGTCCTGGGAGAGGGATCCCTTCTCTGTTGCTCTCCCTGAGGTTTCTCCCATTTTTCCCTTTAAACTGTGGGTTTTCTCCGGAAGTTTTTCCTTGTACGATGTGAGGGTCTAAGGACAGAGGGTGTCGTATTGTCATACTGATATTCTGTACAAACTGTGAAGTCCACTGAGACAAATGTAACATTTGTGATATTGGGCTATATAAATAAACATTGATTGATTGATTGATTGATATGAATGTCCGTCAATCATTTCATCATGACTGCCAGGTCTCTATATAGTCATTCACACCCACGGTGTTTCAGGGCCGGTTCGGAGCTGGAGTTTGAAAAGCACCGGGTTTTCCTCTTCACATCGCAGCGGAGCAGCCTCTTAGCTCCTGGAATCCGGTTCCTTTCAAGCACCCAAAAATTCTCCGGCTAGAGCAAAAGCACCGCATACATCACGCTTACGTCGAGGTGGGGGCAGGGGGAATCGGAATCGTCGTTGAAGTTGATGATTATGATTGTAAAGCAGTTTTGAATGTAGCATGTAACGACTGTAAAGTTGTTAGTAAAGTCGTCCCATTTCGTTTCGACAGAGCAAAACCAAAACGAGTAGCGCTTCAACACAATCGGCCATTGTTGTTGTTGTCGGTGTGAGCTGTGAGGGGTTTCCGCGCGCTTTGGCTTTATGAAGCAGGCACGCAAACGGTTATGTCATGACGCAAACGATGACGCAATGACGCAGCACCAGTCGGACTCTGGGCGGTGTGAAAAGAGTCGGAGCTAAACCGAAGAACCAGTTCTGAACCTGAAAAGCTCTAGCACGGAGCTTGAACTGGAGTTACGTTGGTGTGAATGAGGTATGTGACACATCATCAGATTATGTTCCTGTCTAACCTTACTCAGACTCCAGATGGCACTGCTGACTGCATTGAGAGAACAGATTGTGTCAAACGAGCTGTGTCTTTTTGTTGTTGTAAGTGCTGGAGGCCTGTGATGGCAAGCTGAGATATTAAGAGCTGCAGTGAGTAAAGTGGTATATACCCCTGATAGATACAATGGATACATTTGCAAAGATCAGATAATAATTAAATGAGCTGGGATTACATTTGCAAATAATTTAAGATTCTTTTAATTATTGGATTTTTTTACCTACACTTATGTTAATATGTTTTTTAAAAAAAAAAACATAACTAGGAATGCTGCATGTCTTTGTTGTATGTTCTCTATTTTTCTGAATGTTTTGATGGTACCTTAAAAAGGAGTAACTCTTCTCTTTTCATTGTATAATGACAATTAAGGCTTATATTCTATTCTATAAACTGTAAGTGCCAAACAAGAAGTATTATTATGATAACTACTGAGTAGCATGATGTTTACCTGTTTGCAAGTTAAGGCGTATGCCCTTGAAATAAAATATTGTACTCCTTAATTTATTAACTTTAACTAGGAGCAATAAGGGTGCCATGTAGTGTTTAGTCTTGTTTGATACCAAGAGTGTAGCAGTTAGAAGCAATGTTTACTTTAGGATATTGCTGCATTTTCTGTTTATTGCAATTAAAAAAAAAGACAACCTATTGCTTTTTTAACTTTTGATTCCCAAAAATGTTCAAAGGCCAAACATTGGCTGGCCTGCACTAGACATGAAATAATGTAAAGTGATGTAAAAGATTTGGGTCAAACTATATTTTCATAGTTCTACAGATGTTATAGATCAATTAAAATTATAAATGTATCATGAATGAAAACACACCATACTACTCGATTTAACAAGGTTAATCTCATATATTTAAGTTTGGTACATTTAAGTGGGAAACTTAAAATGTAACAAATAATACGTCATTTAGTTAATAATTTACAGGTTGACTAAATACACCATACGTTGTCACACTGCCATACATATTCACTAGAGAAGCGAATGTTCAAAAATCCTGAAAATATTGCACAAAGAAAGCACCATTTACTCCTGTCTAAGTAATGTCTGCTTAAAACTTGATAATAAATATAAAATATGTCTAGGATTACAAAAAGTTAGGACGTTTTTAAATGTACATATACAAACCCACCATCAAATAAATTGAGGTCCTTCAGCAGCAGTGGGCCATAGATTCCCTCCAGAATGCTTTCAAACCCTGCAAGACAAAATGAACAGAACAGTCGTTCAGTACGGATACGAATAAGTTATGCATATTTGAGTTGCCTAACATTAGAGTGATATGTGTTCCTCCCATTTTATCCGTGTACTTTACTGGAACAGTGTGACGGCAACAGATCTGACAGATAAGCGGACTACGATACCCAACTGTCAGCAACACATACACACTTGAATAGAGTCTAAATATTAACTTGGTAAACTCCAAAGAAACAAAATTCGTAAATAGTATTAACATTGTTACTTTGATGTTTTTATTGGTGTTCATGCATAACGATGTTGATGTCACTGTGATTGAACATTAGCCTACAAAGCAGATGAAATCCAGCTAGCTTCGGGTGAGCTAGCCTAAAGTGACCGGTTTCTGAAGCATAAAATATGGTGTTTAAAAAAGCAAACGGTGCGAGGAAAACCGTTAGTCGAGACCCCCGTGATGTGTGCTTTTCTATTATTGCACTGACATGAGCAGCTCTACCGTAGCAACCATCCCCTCCCCCAAATAACATCAACAACGTTAATGTTAGCATAGCATGTTAGCAGGATATTAGCATAGCCAACATTATGTCAATAAACGAATTAAGCTTACGGTTTGGCGATCAGTTCATTGCAAAATATGTGTTATGCCTTAATGCTACATGTACAGTATCATCCAAGTCAGATAACACACTTTGACGGAGCTAGCACCGGTGGGTATCAAGCTAGCTCAGAGGGACAAAGAAAAGGAGCCAAACTCGACGGGCTAGCCAGCTGGTAAATATTAGCCTGCCAGCTTAACTTAACGGCTAACGCTGGCCACCTACAGTGCCAGGCTACTAGCTTAGCTAGCACTAGCTAGCAATCTAACATAGCTGTGGGTAGCGATCCAGCAGCTACCGGGCGAAATCACTTTGACGCTGGTTGATTTTTTACAAAATATGCAACTGCAAATTGACCATACCAACGCAGTGTATCAATTTGTGTCGCCAAGAATCAAGTTCCCGCCGAAACCCTCTTCTTTCGGCCGTGCATTTGGAGCACTGCACGTTCGCCATTCTGCGTCCTTCCTCCCCCCTCTCTCTCCCTCCGTCTGATCCACAGGAGGAAGCGGCTGTGGACGGTTACTGCTGCCCAGATCTCAGTGGCCGCTAGAGGGAGAAAACCTGGACAAAACTGACTTGCACTTTCCGTGTAATGGCTAAACAGCCATGGTCGATCTATAAGAAAACAGACAAAGACATGTTTGTAATCTATCAATAGATGGAGATTGAAGATTCTTATGAGGGGTTTCATGTAATTGACTGTGAAATGATGATGTGGATGATGCTTTCCTGTTGCATACTCAAGTGAGCAGCAGTTGTTGAAATGAATGCTACAACAATATTGTTATTGTTCATTTTCCGTGCAAGCAGTATCTGTATGACATATGGTCAGGTGGGTGGATTGTCACATGACCAAATATAGGCTACCCTACACCAGAGCCCTAGAGAGATAAGGGCTCTGCCCTACACCATATACACCCATATACAGTATGTTCATGTGTAAACACCCTATTGGCTGCTAAACTATATAGGCCACAGTATGCATATATGATTGGTTAACTGGAATATGTTTGCTGTTAAATTATTATTTATTTATGTTTGTAAATATATGTTTTACTATTAAATATATTGGCTATGTAGTACAACTTCTACAGTGAAAACAATACATCCTAAATCCATAGAATGAAGAATATATTCAATTTCTCAATAACCCTGAAGAAAACAGTAGCCCCCAAAGTGTGGGGGATTCAAAATAACAAAGCTTAGTTACAATGCTGCTTGTTCCTGTGAGTGTTTATACTGGTGGTAAATGAAGGAGTATTTAGACTTTAACAGAACTTCAAATATCTTGGGATGTAGAGAAAAAGGTTTCATATGTAGATTTGGCCACCATGCACCATCTAATGCAGGGATGAGCCACTTTGATGGTGGTGGGGGCCACATCATTGATGTACTGGCCACCAGGGGGCCGCAGATTCACTTGGAACACACACACACAAAAATTCCATGTGTTGTATGTAATTATTAACAAATATATTAAGTCTGACATCTTCATTGACATTTTACAATCAAAGGGAACATCCCCAAAAAATGGGAACATCCTCTAATAAGCTCACTAAACAAATATCAGTTCACAGCAATTGTATTTCATTTTTACAAGTGGCATGTTTGTATTGAACAGGTTATTAAACAGTGGAATAAAACTATTTTAAACTATTGGAAAGCACGGAAAATGTGTGTGTATTGAGATTAACCATTAGATAACTTGTTTCGCCAAATTCAGATGATAAAAACAACTTTTAAGCTTGTAAAGGCATAATTACAAGAGGCAATTTAACGTCACAGCAGGCATAACAACAGCGGTGTTTCTTGTGAGGGTTTCCCCGGGAAACAAACACAATACACACAAATGCCTCACAGATTATTTCGCGGTATTTGAAATCATCTACGCAGCTCGTGACGTAACTAGGAGTCTAGTGGACGGTATCAGTACTACACGTTTTTTTTTAAATGAATTACGTTGTTTATAAATTAATCTGAGGGCGGCAAAAAGAGGAGGTGGGGGCCGCATGCAGGCCGCCATTTGCCCATCCCTGATCTAATGCATGATGGGAGAATACAATAATAAAAACAAACCTGACTTTCTAAAAAACACCAATACTCACTGCCTGCTCCTCCTCAGTGCAACCACATGAGGGCAGCAGAGAACTTTCGTTTTTTCTGGATAGACTTGTATCAATAGTGTGCAATTGCATGGTGAACACGAGGTCAAATGTTAATGGTTGGCCTTATTCTGTACTATTTCCCATTACCCAAAACCTTATAAATATATTTTTCTTTGTTTACATTCAGGTAACAGGGCAGCCAAGCTCCAGATCTTTAGGGGACCCGCCTTCCATAGTTGTATTGCCAATTTGTCGGTAAAAACTGTAATTAAATAACATGAGTGTATAGCGGCAAACTCAGAATAAAAAAACAGCAACATATTTTTACCAATCAAAATAATATTTCTGTTTGCACTGCACTTGTGGGCACATAGAGTGAGCAAACAGGGTTTAAACAGGGGGCCTCCAGCTTATTTCTGCCCCATGGCCCCCTGACTGGTCAATCTGGCAGTGCATCTCGTAATGCAAAAGATCAGAAGGCTATGAAAACAGCCGAAACAAAGGGGGTTCATGGAGAGTGTGTGAGTGATTGAGTGAGGGACAGAGCAGGGAGGCCGATTAGACATATGACATGGAGTTAGAAAGAGCTATGGAGGGCTGTAGAGCAGATAGGAGATGTGGTTGAACGTTGGTCTTAGAGTAAAGGAAGCAAGTGTCCCAGGCCCAGGTGGAATTTATTGTCACGGTGACTTAAAGCGTGGTTACCGTGGAGATGGTGATGAAAGACAGCGGCATGGTGGACAGCACTTCTGGGTCAAAGCGTGACCAACAGCAAACAGCCCAGAGTGCCTCAGGGACAGAGATGATTACATGCAGGGCCGCCAACATTTTGTGTTTTTAAGTATACACATGTGTGTTTGAATGCACAGTGTTTAAGTAGTGTAACAGGGCAGTCTACTTGAATTGTGCGATCAGAAAATGAGCAGCAGCTAAGCACCAAGATGGTGGTCCTACTGCTGCCCAGAATAACTTTTAACACCGCCCCAAGCCTGTTTTTCAGGTTTCAGGCTGGAACATGACATTCCCAGAACAAATGACCATATCTTCCCTTCTAAAAGGGTTAAATGAATAATCGTTTTTCTCAAAGTAATGATAAACCTGTGAGTTGGATCTAGAAAAGTCAGAATCTGTATAGATGTTTTTTATTTTAAAGAAAATTCAGATTGAACATGGTAAAAAACTGTAAATTATAGTGTCCGTCCAAAAAATATTTTGTACTTATAGTGAAAACTAACCTTGGATGATGGGTTAGTAGACTAAAAGCTTTAGGAATCCAAAGTACAACATATAATAAGTACCCTGTATCAAGATTGATGCAAAACAAGTGATATTTGACCTTTTTAGACAGATTTAGCAAAAAAAACCTCTTCTGGGCCATTTGGGTGGATTTTCCTTATCTCTGGCCCCCCTTGCTCGATTTTTGAACATGTGACATCTCTTCCTGACCGTTAGAGACAATAGAATCGAAGGGAATCGTCCCGCACACACTCATGTTTGAAAAAAAAGGTGCGTCTTTGCGCATGCAATCTTACTACAGAGCGTAGGAATATCCCTGCTCTGATATTTGAAAACGGAATTGCAGTTTTATTGCTTATAGATTATCAGAACATTTCAAAGGGGACACAGTCACATTGGATATTAATCTATGGATTAACTACAGCATCGTTTTTTATCGTTGTAATGCCATTGAAGACCAGTTTTGACCAGACAAAACCAAGGTAAACCAGGTTAGCGTTTTAGGCTACATAGCGCCACATGTTTTGATGTACGTTTTTGTTGATAACGTCGTGAGTTTGTATCTTTCAGTGTTGAGGTGGGCACCGTTAGATTCTGTGTCTTTACGATCATAAACGATGTGTTGGATGTGCAGCTAGGATAAGTAATAAGGGAGCTAGGAATGATTTTCGGTGCAGTAATAGGTTAGTATTTTTCGCTCGGGGCTAATTCAGAGGGTCAGTGTTAGCATTGTGTGTTTTTTTTGAAAATAAAAATGAAAAAGATCAGTTAAATGCGTTTGTTCCCGCTATATGGATATAAAATATTCATAGTTTATTAAATATCAAGGTCCCTTAGACGTTGTTTCCTGCAAATGATGAGATTTCGGCCCCGGAAACCGGGTCCGTGGGGCTTAAGAGGTAACCACCAACATATTTCATTACTGCAACTCCACAGTGTAGTTAGGGCCACTCAGAGGTGTGTGTGTGTGTGTCAATCAATCAATGTTTATTTATATAGCCCAATATCACAAATGTTACATTGTGGTCTTCACAGTGTGTACAGAATATCAGTATGACAATACATTACATTGCATTTAGCTGACGCTTTTATCCAAAGCGACTTACAATAAGTGCGTTCGACCAACAAAATACAAACTTGAAGAAAACAGAATCATATAAGTACATCAGGTTTCATAGAGCCAAACATTTCAAGTGCTACTCAACTGGCTTTAGATAAGCCAGTCCTTTATTAGTATAAAAGTGCTTCGTTAATAGTTCTATCGCTCGAAGTGGAGTCGAAAGAGATGAGTTTTCAGTTTGCGCCGGAAGATGTGCAAGCTATCTGCCGTCCTGATGTCAATGGGGAGCTCATTCCACCATCCTGGAGCCAGGACAGCAAACCCACGTGTTTTCGCCGATGGGAACTTGGGTCCCCCTCGCAGCGAGGGTGCAGCGAGTCGTTTGGCTGATGCAGAGCGTAGTGCACGCGCTGGGGTGTACGGTTTAACCATGTCCTGGATGTACGAAGGGCCAGATCCATTCGCAGCATGGTAAGCAAGTACCAGTGTCTTGAAATGGATTCTAGCAGTTACCGGAAGCCAGTGAAGGGAGCGGAGGAGCGGAGTGGTGTGGGAAAATGTAGGAAGGTTGAAGACCAGACGAGCCGCTGCATTCTGGATGAGCTGCAGAGGTCGGATGGCACATGCAGGTAGACCAGCCAGGAGGGAGTTGCAGTAGTCTAGGCGTGAGATGACGAGAGCCTGGACCAGAACCTGAGTCGCTTTCTGTGTCAGCTGGGGATGTATCTTCCTGATGTTGTAAAGCGTGTATCTGCAGCAACGGGTTGTAGCAGCGATGTTTGCAGTGAAGGACACCCTCTGTCCTTAGACCCTCACATCGTACAAGGAAAAACTTCCGGAGAAAACCCACAGTTTAAAGGGAAAAATGGGAGAAACCTCAGGGAGAGCAACAGAGGAGGGATCCCTCTCCCAGGACGGACAGACGTGCAATAGATGCCGTGTGTAAATTGAAAAGATAATACATTTGCAACATAGGTAGTCCAAATGTGTGTGTGTGTGTGTGTGTGTGTGTGTGTGTGTGTGTGTGTGTGTGTGTGTGTGTGTGTGTGTGTGTGTGTGTGTGTGTGTGTGTGTGTACGATTGAGCATGACTGTGTAAGAGCACACCTGGA